AAGAGTTTACATGGTTTTCATTATAATTATTAAATATAATAGTTAATAAACAACCAATAATCAACAGCAATTATTGAATGTCACTGGGGCAAAGCTCTCATTGCACAAAAAAGCTCTATCTATTCAAAAGAAAATTATAAACTCAAGCAATAAATCAAAGGATTCAGAAACTGAAACAGTATGCCAGGCAGCACTCTGAAAAATTTGCTGTGTCAAATTCCCAGTGCATCCATTATGTGTCTATACAAAAATCACGGGGAGCATCAGGGCCAACAGTGCAAATCACTTCTGAGAAATAGAACTGAGAATAGATAGAATGCTGGTTCTAGTAACACATTATTCTGTGGATCATCATACACTGCTTTCCAAAATGTAAAATGCCCAAGAGTATATCCATAAATAATACGGAATTTGTATAACTTGCAAAAATGTTTCTTAAGTGCATATAATAACTGAATAAATGACCATACAAATTATCTTTTATTTACTTTATAGTAGGAGCTTATTTAAAATGTTTCCTTCAGTTTGCAATACAAAGACATTTCTTTACATTAAATTATTTTACAAATATCTTAAAAATACCATGTTCCTATATGTTCCTATATAAACAGGTAGTCCTGTTTATCTAATTTTTGGTTTTAGCATTATTCTTTAACAGAGAAAGCCCCTCTTTAAATATGTTTAATGAAATTAAAGAACAAAGCTTGAGCTGTCTGTACTCCACGTCTAAGCACTGATTTCCCATCTAACATTGTCTTAGATGAGTAGATTCACCCCAAGTCAATACATTCACATATTTGATTTTGCCAGAATAATATTGTCTGTTTATCTAAATGCACTCACTTAAAATTGCATGTCTTCTCTTAATTTTAGGAAAGAAAAAGAAAAAATGCAGAGAGATTCGGCTTCTAACTGTTAAGGTTCTCCTCTATGCATAAATTCATGCTAGAAAATTACAAAATTACAGTTTCCTTTGGGGAATTTTCAAATACTGAAATTCCCCTACTAGGAATACACTAGCTCTTTTCTTCCTCTCTGCTTTCTACAATTTTAATATTATTTCACAAATTAGCTTATCCTCACAGGAAAAGATTAGATAAACCTTGAAAAGATTATCCAAATACATAAGGAAGTCAATATTATGTAACAAATTAACCGTCTCCTACATAACCCCCTGCATTCCACTCTTATTAATGAGTTGCAATTGTGAGAGTTCCGGTCATCTGTTCAATTAATTTGCTACTGAAGCCTTTGGCATTCTTTCCAACTAGAACTTAAATATAATTCAGTTCTCCAGAATTAAAGCTCTGGCACATTAACCACCATCCACCTATTAGCCTCATTCAACTCTTTATTTTTAATTAGCCCAAAATAAATAGAAAACAAGTCATTTAAAAAAATAACATACTCAGCTGCCTGTTTGTAGTGTTTCAAGTCTTTCCTCAGATTTTTGTTCTCATTTTCTAAAAGCATATTCTGGGTGTAGACATCTGGAACGTTCCCAACATCTCTAAGTTCAGTTACTCCCTTCTGTATAAACTCATACCTAGGACAAAACCAAACAAAAAGCTTTATGCTGTTTCTTTCTACTAAATTGGCTTAGTTTATGTACAATTCAAAAAGTTAAGTCTTAGGGAATGACTATAGAAATTAATTGCAACATTACTTGTGTAAATTAAAATGTCAATGTTCATAATACATTTTTAAAATAAAATATTCATGAATTGTTTGATACTAATATCATCATGGTACATAAAATAGAACTAAACATCTCCTACTAATCTAGACATTGGTGAAATTTACAAAATGGTTCAAGTACCTACCTAATGGAATTTCTGCTCTAGTTTGGATGGTGATATGTTCTATATGAAGTAAAACAAAGCAGGATAAGAGGGATAGAGAGACTGACATGGAGAGTGATGGGGGGGGTTGTGCTATTTTATGTAGGATAGCCAAAAAAAAGTATAATCAGCACAGTAATATTTGAGCAGAGAACTAAAGGAAATGAGGGACTAAGCCATGTGGATTAGGGAGAGGAACATTCCTGGCTGATTAAACAGCAAGTAAAGGACCAGGGACCAGGAGGTGTTTGGCAAGTAAAATAAAGAATAAAAAGCCAGTATATCTAGAGTACGTAGAGCGGGAGCCAACTAACTGAGCAAGAGAGAGAGTGGTGAAAGATGGGTCCGGAAGACAGCGGGGAGCTAGAGAGAGGAATGTGAGTTTACTCTAAGTCAGATTGAAGCCACTGGTAGGCTGGCGTCAAGTGACACTGATCAGACTGGTGTTTCCAAAGGATTAGTCTTGCATCTGTTTAAAGAAACTGACTCTAGAGGAGCAAGTGTAAAATCAGAGAAACTAGTTTTGAGGCTGCAGGAATAAATANGTTCCCACGAGACTCTGTTCTTCCTTTTCCCTCTGCCTGGAATTCCCTTTCCCCATGTTTACATATGGCCTCCTCTCTGTTTCTTCAGATATCTGAGAGGCCTTCCCTCCCCCACCCCCCCCACACCCCTGTTTACACCAGCAGCCCTTTTCCCTCTGCCTCCTTTGCCCTTTATTTTTCTTCACAGCACTCATCACCACCTGAGTCATGTTACATCTGGCAACACCCACAGGTAGCTAATGGTTCCCTTATTGGACGGCACAGCCTTAGAGAGTGTAAACAACATGGAGGTGCAAAGGGGAAACGAAGCCTGTCAGTGAGGTGGAAGGACACGCAGAGCAGAACACTGCCGTAGAAGCTGAGGGAGGACAGGAATGAAAGATAGATAGGACGTGCACTTAGGAGGAGCAGGTGGGGTGAAAGCCAGACTGCAGGGTGTTAAAGCACAAGTACAATGATGTTTTGGGAGTAAACAATCAAACTGAGAATATTTACAATATCTATGTGACAAGACTAAGACAAAAAATGCTACTCAAGGTATGAACCAACATCGAACAGGTTCCTCAGGAATAAAACTTATAATAGTTTTTATGGACCTCAGGCTCAGATGGATATTGTGGCATGTCAGCTACCAAATAAAAACAAGGTTTATAAAATAGTGTCTTAACTATGAAAGACATTATAGCTCCAGTGATGCTTTCCAGCCTTCATTCAACCAACAATTCTCTGCAAACATGCCACAGGCAGGTCACGTAAATTCTAGACCTCCACATTTAAAATAACAATTGGTCTCCATTTCCATATATAAGTACAGTTATATTTTTCTTTTCCAAGATGTCAAACTACTACCTGTATCATTCCTCTCCAGTATCTAGTACGAAAAATATTTTTACCTTCAATGTAACTAAAAACCATTTTTCCCTTAAAAATATCTATAAAGAAAATTTCCAAATAGTTATTTCAAAAACTTTTTTNATGAAAAAAGTTGCTATGAATATTCTTATACCAGTCACATACGAGTAAGATAGCTTTTGGTTATCTATCTTCATTTCTCTTAGAAAAATACCGAGATGAATTGCTGGGTTGCAATCTACACTTTCAACTTGCCAAAATTTGGTGACGATTAGTCCACCTGGGTTTGTCAGTTTTATTATCAATTTTGATAGTTTTATATATTTTCAAAAAACCAACATATGAATTTGTTGATTGTTTTCTTATGTTTGTCCCTTTGCTAGTTTGTTGGTTACAGGTCTTATTTTTATTATGTCATTTATTGTTCTTTCTGTGTATTTAATTTGTTCTTTTTCAGCTTCTAAAGTACAAGATTAGATCACTGGTTTAAAATTTTCTTCTTTTCTAACATAAACATTTAAAGCTATCAATTTCACTTTAAGCACTGCTTTGGCTGGATCCCACGCATTTTAAAATGCCGTATTTTCAGTCAGTTCCAAATATTTTCTCATTTCCTTCTTTGACTCATTGTGTTACTTAGAAATGTGTTACTTAATTTCCAGATATTTGGGGATATTCCAAAGAGCTCTGTGTCATCTATTTTTAATTTAATTTGGTTGTGATCGGACAACATATTTTGTATGACATCAATTCTTTGAACTTTAGAGAGAGACTTGTTTTATGGCTCAGCATATGATCTACTTTGGTGAGCACTCCATGTGCACTTTAAAAGTCCAAAGTAGAGCTCAATAAATGTCAATTCATTTGTCTTGTTTCGTAGACTTAGAGATGTTCTTATTTTTCTACTAACTGCTAAAAGAGGAGTGTTAAAATCTCCGATTGTAACTGTGGAAATATTTATTTTTCTTTTCTGCTTTATCATGTTTTGTTCCATGTACTTTGAAGCTCATACATTAACGCATGCTATGTCTTCCTGATGAATTGACTCTTCTGTCAATATGGAATTACCTCTTTTTCTCTGGTTCTCAGAATGCTCCTACAGCTGCTGGCTCTGCAGCCCCTCCCCTTGGGCCCTATGAGCTTGCAGAGGTGGCCCTCTTTCCCTAGAAAGAGCTAACACTTCCGCACAAGCTAGCAGATGCCCTCCTGCAGTTGTTCCTACTTCCTCCTCTCCTACCACCAAGCTAATGGTCTGACAAGGGAAGGAAGGGACCATACAGCCAAACTGCTGCAAGGGTTAATCAGTACGGACTAAAATGAACCAGAAAAAGTACCTCAGAGACTGGGTTTTGAGGTACTTGATAAAAAAGGGCTGTAATCTAAGACTGGATAAACAATACATTATTGACCTTGAACCACTTTCTTAAGACACTGGATTTTACAAGAAGTGGAGCAAGCACTCCAGTGAATGAGTTGAACTCACTCCTGGGGTGGCTCTTAGAAACTTAGGAGAAGTGATTGCCACCACTCAGCAAAGTGGAAATGCCTGCGCTACCCTGGCAGACAGTAGAGCACATGATAGCAAGAGACCAAACTTACTCATCTTTGTATTTCAAACACATAGTATACCACTTGGCACACAGTACATGCTCAATACATGTTGAATAAATAAATTTACCTGAAACCTTCTGCCATAACCAAGTTGCTTAACAGTGATTACATAGCTCAGAAATAAATAGGCCAACAAATATTAGCAGCTTACCCTTTGAGGTCATTAATTAATTTGTTTTTTTCTTGGACTGTTCGTTTGTGATGCATTCGATGAAAATCACGTTCTTTCTGAGCTTTCAGCAGCTCTGCTCTAGCTTTGCTGAAAAAAAATAATAAAAATAACTTTAAGAATCACTGTTAGTTCCTTTCTGAAAAAAGAAAAATATTTAGTTATCAGTTCAAATCCAGTATTGAGCAATTCAAAAAAGATAAATGAAAAACAGATTCCATTATAATTCTCATCAAAGAATCCCAACCAAAATAATGTATATGGGGATGGCGGTTGCACAGGCAAAAGGCGAAAAATAGCATTCATTCCATTTTATTTAAGTAAAGGCAACTAAAGACAAGCTGTCAAAATAATTTATAATCTATCTGCTTCCAAGGAAAATGTGTTTATAAAATTGAAATACATACAAAGCAGGATAACTTAAAATACTTACAAATAAAGGAAAAGACTTCACAAAATTTAATTCTGAACTTGCTTGAATAGTTAAGAGAATGCATTGGGTTACTTAGTTCTCACAATTGTGAAAAAGAAAGCATAAGTTTTGGAAAACCAAGATCTTATCCTGGTAATGCATATGAGGAACACACATCACCTGCATATCATATTACTAGAATGATTGGTAACTTGATGAGAAAGGTCTTTAATATTGTAATACAGAAGCATTCTTCAAATGGATAGATCTTCTGTAAACCCCTGGCATAAAGCAAGTGTATTAATTCTAAGCCCAAGCTGTATGTGAAAAATTAATGGGAATATTTCAACCACCCACGTAGTATAAGTTAGTTTCAATATAAAAATGTAAAACATAATTTAAGATGAAAAAGTAGTTCTCTAACAGTCTTAGTTAAATGACAAAGTGCTACTGCACTGAGACTCACATTCTGAAAAATGGATGGATTGAATTAGAGGGCTGACATCTCACAAGAGGATCAGAATGGAATAAATCTGCTTCTCTGTATCACAGTATTTCAAAATTCAGATTAACATAAAATAAATGCAGACAAACAGGTTTCTGCTTTAGGGGCTATGTCAGAGCAACCACTGAGGAGATGGGATGCTGTCAACAAAGTGGGATGAGCTTAGGTGTGCAGGCTCCTGAGAGAGCATATTCTGATCAGTGGGGCTTCTTGCTGCAAGATCAAGTCACTTGTGGCATATGGTGACTGTGACTCATCCATTCTTCCAGCTTTCTTTCTCCCCTACCCCATCTTCCCTTTTTTGGGGGGTGGGGGGTGGAGAGGACTTGTATTGTTCTTTATTTTACTGCCACTCTTGTAGTCTTTATTACATGTAAATAAACAATGTGTCACAGTACTCAGGGCCTACTCCCACCATCCAACCCTCAACTTTGTTTCCATACCAACATCTTGAAGGTGCAACAAATTGTTGATTAAAATATTCAATCTTGAACAATTATCTGAGGAATATGCCAATTATTAAATGAACAAATAATTTATTCTTTCTAGGTTTTCACCCTCTGTGTGAGTGAATAAAAGATGAACCCAAAAAAGACAGACCCCCTCCGCCACCACCATCAGCCTAATGAGTGGTACATGAAGAAGAGGAGAAAGTTTCAGTAGAGTGGTTGGAAAAGATAAATGGCTGAGTTCACATTTTGTTGTGAAAACATAAGAACATCACACTGCAATTCGCATTCATCTAGAATAAAGTATGTAAAGTGGCGTATATACTGTCTGGCACACAGAAAATACTCGATGAATGTTATGTAATCATTATCATATTACTATTGAGTAGAGTAGAACAGATATATTGAATTCCTGTAACAATTAGATTTATCTACCTAAAATAGGGGGCATACCAGTAGGTAAATGCCCTCTGTTGGACCAAAAATATGAGAATACATGATTATTAGTAGCACTCTGTTTCTTTATAAAAGAATTTAAAACTTTTATGAGCATCCATTTTGCATCTATGAAAACGGTCTTACTTTCAGCAACTTAATGAATTATATAAATGAGCTTGTTTTATTTATCTTGTCTGAAATGTAAATCTATAATAGGTTAAAAAAATACATAGAAAAATAATGTTGCAAAGTTTCTTAAGCAGAAGCACAAATGTGTAGCACTGCATCAACTCACTTTTAAAATATACAGTTAAAGGCCTAGGTGTACTCATCCAAGAAAAGAAAGCATAGGAATTGATTGAAGTATTAGACCTTAAAGTTTTTCTGACCATTAAATTGGTTTTCAGGGACATGCTTTCTATTTGCACAAATGAAGTCTACTCAGTAAAACAATTTAAATTCATTTCATGGTGATGCTTCTCCTGTTATGACCTTCCTGCTGTCCATATGCTTAATAAAAGGGAAATAAATGTTGTACTAAAAATAAAGTTTAAAATAGTCANGAAATGAAAGTGGAACTGGAATAGGTATGAAAGAGCAGGAGATGAGGAAGTAGCAACAGAGAGATATGCCATAAAGCAGAGCCTAGGAAATCAAGATGAACCTAGAAGAAGTGGAAGAAAAATATATAAAATATTTTTCCAAATACAATATGATTTTCCAAAATCGTATCTATGTATGATTTGTAAACATGTATGCTTATGGGAATGATCCAGCAGAAAGGGAAAAAGCTTAGGATTCAGGGGAGAGAGGTGGCGACTGCAGGACCAATGTCCTTGAGTAAGCCAGAGAAGCTGGGATACAGTAGAGGAGGGGAGGCCTTAGATGACAGCGGGTATGGTTCAGCCTCTGTGACAGGCGAAAGGGAATGCCTCGCACAGAGGCAGCTGATTGGTAAAGAGGCAGGAGTTACGGCCCTTCTATTTTCTCAGTGAAATAAGAAAGAACATCAGAAAATCATTTACAGATTTGTAAATAATTATAATTTTAATCATTATAGGTAGCATTTAATAAAGCTCAATAAAAATAATCAGATCATAAAAAAAATTTCAAGTTAAAGCTATTAATAAACAAATCTCTACAAAGCTTGCTATAGATGAGCTAAACATTAGTTTAAAAATGCTTAATTATCAGTATTTTCATATTATAACTCTTAGCTTTATTATTACACATTAATAGTCATGTTTTTATGTTCTATAGCTTATCCAACATAAAAGAACAGCAAAAGAACCCTTGCAGAATATGCAGAAGGTTAAGATAATTGAATCAATATTAAATAATATTTTCCACAATTTCTAAAACAACAAATAGATAACCATTTAATCATAAATTCACTGTTTTATCCATATTTAGAATGTGTTTATACTTATCTCAGAAGAAAAGACATATAAGGATTGGTTAACATATTAGAACATAAAGTTTTTCTGAGCTTAAAATTGGTTTTCAGCAACTTACTTTATTTAATGCAGAAAAAATCACTGATTATTTCAACAAGAATAAAAGTGATATATAGTCCTTCCCTAAATTAAATGTTATGTAAATAAATAAATATGTGGTAAGATAAGTAAAAAAAATAAAAAAAATAACACAACACATACTACGTCATATATATCTTAGGACACTCAAAAGTCATTTATCATGCAAAAGTTATGCCATCCATGTAAAAAATCAAATATGATTTTAAACTCACTAAAGTTATTTTAAGGTAATTAGGAATACTAATCTACAAACTCCAGAAATATATTTCTCAGTAAAACCTACATTTTCCTGCATAATATTTTTTTGGTTTTGTTTCAGGTGTGTCTGTGTGTGTTTTAACAAAATATGGCCTTCTTTATTTCTTCCTCCTTAGTCATTTACCCTTAGAATAAGACTAAAAATAATTTAGATAGAAAAAAGATTGTCATGTAACTATTAGGAACTGGAAATAAAATTTACTACCAACAGAACTGCCAATGAATTATTGCCAATAAATTCACATTCGTGATTTTCATATTCACCATAAGGTCCATAAAACTACTTACAATTATCCAGAAACAGAGAATATACATATATTTCAGGGAGAAAGCGCTTAGGCTTTCATAAGTTTTGTGTATATGCCAAAAGAGTTTCAGGCCCTCTGTCACAAATGACAACTAATACAATACAATTTCAGTAAACGTAAATGATGTCATGAGAATAAGGGCTATTTTTCCTTCAGGCACAGGATATAAAAGACAGGGAAACAGTCATCTAGACAATAAGAAGCATCAAATGAGCATCTTTCTTCCATGTTTTCCGAGTGAAGGAAATACTTCACCAAAGATGACAAAATTCCCTTAAGTACGGCCCAGACTGATGATGCTGGAATCGCCAGCGCCATTATGATGAATCACTGTAACAAGACAGTCCTTCACAAGAAAGATATAATACAGTCGAGCAAGTTTAGTATTGGCCCCATGATTCCTCACACCAAAATGGAAAACAGGCACAAATTCGAACTGTAAATCAAAATATTCCTTAAGTTCTTTCAGTCTCCAGTCAAGCTAAAAGATACCTTTACTGGCATTTTTTCAAGATTCCCTTGTATAAGTTCCACACTTCAGCATCGATGTTGGGAGATGGGTAGACTGTCTCTTACTGGCTGTGACTGGCTGCTGTTTACTATGGCAGATCTCCTGACCTCTCTAAGCCCATTTCCTTGCCCACATAATGGAGACATGATAGTGGCTTCCTGCTATATAGTTCTTGGGACAAATAAATGGGATAATGCATGAGAACACACTGTGTTTATAAGAATGATACGAAGTGCATTCCTGAGTGATAAACCTTAGGCTTCATCTGTAAATATTTTTAAATCTTTCATATTTAATAAATGCTATATTAATTTTGGCTACAAAATTTATGTTAAATATTCACTCATAAGCTTGTTTTTTTGAAAACACAGTACATAAATAAATCTCTGCATATATATTTACAGAACTGAAATTTAATATATTAGCACAAACATTAACATAATATAAGTCACAACATTCCTGTGTTTAACTTAATTCTGATGGTGGAAAAAACAATCTTACAACATGGCACATAACCAGAAGCCAAGTCCTAATCAACTGAAGAAACAGCAATAGGTTTAAATGCTAAAGGAACAAAAACTTGTTCTGCAGTATTCACTGAGAGACAGTAATATATACACCACACATACTTCCCACACATCCTGGGCAACATAAGGGATTTTTCAAGTGTAATTTTAATTCCAGGCTCTGCCTTTACACTTAACCATTCCCAGAAAGTTTTAACTGCACTGCCCATATTTGAGTAATTATATATATTATGCCAAAATATATTGGCTAAAAGTGGCAATATTTACTTTTTGAAATTACAGGAATATACTAATACATATTTTATAATTTCTTCTATAATTAAGAAAAAATATAATAAATTAGTAATCAAATATTATAAATAATTGCACCATTACCTGTGATGGCATTTTTATTACCACCCAACCATCAATACAGTCCAAACTAGGGAGAACTAAGACTTGAATAGGAAGTAAAAAAAGAAAGAAAGAACGAGAATAAAGACCCTGTTTTCCAAACATTTGGCTGTAAAGGGAAGAAGAGTTAGAGGGTGGGAGGTAATTAGAAGCACAGGCAAAGATGTGCAGGAATGGACATCTCCACTGAGTGGGTCCCAGTGGAGTGAAGGAGGCGGCTGACTTCCGCTCAAGTAAGGGTACTTAGGTGCACTACATGTTTTTTCCATTTAACCCTGACTTTAATTTTGCCTCCGGGAAAATTATCATTATCCACAGAGGACTTCTAAAATCGACATAAAAATATCATTCATCAAATGCACAGCGAAGACTGTTTTATGGGTCACAGAAAAAATTCCTATCATATTGACACATACGTGTGTGTATAATGTATTAAATATACATATATTTATATATATTATGTATGTATCATATAAATATAAAATGCATACTATATTATAAGTGCATGTAAATTTTTGTAAATGGACAAAAAACATAATTTGCACAAAAAGTTTTCTGGGCCATTTGGTTTCTGTTGCGACTAGTTAGTTAACTTTGCTATTGTAGCATGAAAGCAGCCATAGACAAAAACTAAAATAAAGGTCATGGACTGTGCTGTACACCTGAAGCTGAAGCTGAATAATACTGTCAACTATAATTTAATACATATATAATCACAGGATGTGGAGTGCAGCATAGGGAATAGTCAGTGGAATTGTAACTGCTACAATATATACGATGTCAGAGGGGTAGTAGATTGGGGGAGGAGGGTTAGCACTTTGTGAGGGGGGTAAATGTCTATTGCATTGTTTTGTACACCTGAAACTAATATAAAAATAAAAGAAAGGTCATGGCTCTGTTCCAATAAAATTGTATTTACAAAATAGAAGGCAGGCCAAATTTGGCCCAGGTGTCTTCGTTTGTTCACCCCAAATTTAAAGGATTTACTGCAAGTACTGTTTGAGGACTGAAAGGACACAGCCAAATTTTACTACCCAGGTTTTTTGATTTGGGGTTTGTTGTTTTTTACAAACTAACAATGGAGAAATCTGTTCTGTTACTCTTTATAAGATTAAAGAACTCATATCAATGATATGTGTTTTTTTTTCATAATAAAAATGATAAAGGTAATATATTTAATATCCCTATCATCCTACCATGCAGAATAGATAAAGGTTTCTGATCAAAGCCAAAAATGTTTCATGTAAAATAAAAATATCAAATACAGTGTAATCTCAATATAAACAATTTGTAATCTCATTACAAACTGGCAGCCAGAGATAAGGATAAAATTATTTGAACCATAGTGCTACAAAGCCCATATAATAAGGAAACATTTTAGAAAAATTTTACTTTATGATTGTAATATTATGCTAAATGTAATGCTTACTTAGTGTTCTAAAAATCCTAACATAATTGTAGCTTCCTAAAATTTCATCTCAATTCAAATTGCTAAATCTGAAAGGATAATATGACAGGCATCTAATTGTTAAGAGCATACCTGATTCTAGATTTCCCCAAGGAATCATCTCACTTAGACTGGCCAAACATTAGGACACTACATGTCCTAATACATATTCTCAGGCGAAAAGGTAACTGAACCATATTCATCTTTCATTTCATTAGTACTGCAAATTAATCATCTATCTACTTTTACAAAAATGTATTTTCTAATACATTTGTAATTACTTTTAGGGACATTTTTATAAAAATGATTCACAAAATTTCCAGATGTAATAGGAACAGTATTATTTTTCTACCATCAATTTGCTCTTTTCCTAAACTGTATTAATGAAAAAATGGTTCTTCCCACTGAATTTATTAACATTAGATATGCAATTTAACATAATAAAACTGACTTCTCTGTATGTGATCTAAGTAGATGAGAACCACAAAAATCAGAAAATAAAAATTATGTCATGGTTAGACTAGTAGAAATGACAAATTGCCCCTATATTTAAAATTTGTATTAGCCAAAGAACACTATAAACATCTCTATATGTCACATTATTCCTTCTTTCTATAATATGCAATGGCTTTTAAATATCAAACACTATAACATTCTTTAGCAAAACATTGTTAGGACACAAAAAACATGCCTGATGACACTATGGTAGCAAAATAATGAAGACAGCATTCCTGCTGATTTTTATAACAAGTTATTAAAATTTTCAATTATAACTAGAAAGTCTTGTGTTCAGGCATTATTTGAAAATGTTTCCACTTACATCTAAATGAAGGAACATTTATAGAAAAAGAATCAATCAGTTGTGTGAATAGAGAAAGGCATGCCATCACAATAAGTAAAACAAGCAAAGCAGTATCATTAGTAGGATGTGTTAATGAAAGAAATATTACTCTTACTAATTACATAGAAGATATTAGGAAATTATTTCATAAAATAGCTTTGTATTATGTCACAACAAAGATATTCCATTTTCTTGATTTTTGAAAATCACCTAAATTTGAGTATTTCAGAAAGATGTTTAATATACACATATTTGAAATTGATATCCTGAGTATGTGCACTTTTGTATTTGTGTGTGTGTGTGTGTGTGTGTGTGTCGTGGTTTCAGTAGTGGGGATGGGAAAGGTTTCCATCCATTTCATCCATTTTGTATAAGCGAGTGACTTGTTGAAAGTGTACATGTTAAATACTGTTAGCATTTCTAGAGAACTATAATATTTAGCTACATAATTACTTACCATTCAGACTGAAAGCAATCCAGAGTTCTGGTCATTCCC